AAATTCGACGACCTCCGCCGTGTATTTGAACCCGCGTACTACGAGTCATGAGGGGGAAACGTTACCTCTAGACTACGGAGGCCGCTCACATGCATCTTAACTCATGATACTGATCCAGACTCGCGACGCGGCAGAAGACGAAGAGCACTCGCTTCCCTTGCTTATGCCAGTGCTGCCATCTATGAAGAGAATGAACGACACCCTAGTAACGTTCACCATTACACATTAGCCTCGCGTCTCGGGAAAGCTTACTGCCAACGGCGACTGACACAAGCGTATACGTAGACCCTGCATATACGTTTCGGAAGAAATGTCAGAAACTGTGACTGTCGGTGTAAAACAAGGGGACCTAAGGGGTCGAAAAGTCAGTACTAAATCTGGCCTTCAGTACTACAGTTTCCAAGGTATTCCTTACGCTAAGCCACCTGTTGGAAACCTCAGATTCCAGGTAAGTTGCTAATACTTCAACCTCATTCGTATACCTTAAAGTGATTCGAAAAATCTTATGAAATACAGTTTTGGAAAAATTTTCAAGATTAAAAGGGTGCGTAAGTTGCTGTCAAGAAGCGACTTAATAAAAATAGAAAAATTTCACGCATTTATAAATGTCGAAAGTTTAAAACATTCTGAATATTTTTGAAAGTCATAAAAACTTTTGTCAGTGATCAATAGAATGGAATTTCAAGAAAGTAGGAACGCTTAAAGACTAAGTTTAGGATAAGATGGAAATTTTAAGTTTCACGTACATTGGTTCAAAACTGGAAGGTACTATGAAGTTGAAAATGTCGCTAACTGTGCATATTTTGAAGAAACGAAATCTTGGGAAGTTTCAAAACATCCTTACATTAATATAATGAATAATTAAATAATAAATACTTCAGACAGAACCGGAATGCAAGGTGCCGACAATGTTGTTTCTGTTCCATTCAGCTCATGAACGGCGATCTGATGTGAACTGAAATGTCCCAGAATACTCCGCACTTTATAGAAATAAATCCAAATTCACAAGACTGGCTATCGTTAAAGTTAAAAAAAAATGTTGTAATTGGGAGTTTATAATTTTAAGAACCATGGAATATGACACATATCTCGAGATCTTCGTAACTTGGAAGCTTGAAACAATTCGTAAAATTGAAAAATTAACTTTTCGAAACCGTAATGAATTTGAAAATTTCATCAGAAAGTATGTGAATGTGAACACTTGAAAATACGTGCTGACAACACTGTGGAACATACATATATGTAGGTACGGTTACTGGTAGCCTCTACATGTGCTCGCAACCGTGCCGTCCGTTTGCCAGTCTGTAGTTACATATATCTATGGCCCTACAGCTCTTTGTTGGACCTTGGTCGCATTTCAGTCTATTGATCTTTACACAATGGATATGACTCTNTTGCATATTCAGCACTCGACAGTCGTTTCTGATAGCCGAAGGTAGTGAAGTATTTCACGCCGCAGGAACAAACCTGCCTCCTACCCGAACGTGTAGGTCTACGTGTTTATGTTCTCACTGGGCTTACGTACGTGTGAATGCAGATTGTATTCGCGGTGATCGGGGTCTGGGATGGCTTGAATGGTGGGTTCTGTTCGTAGATGGGGGGCTTCTTCTCCTTAGGGAGGACTGGGACTCGTCTAGGGTCCGCCTAGCTTCGTGTATTCAGGCGAGAGGATTTGCTTCATGCTGCCAACTTATACACCCACTGAAGTGTACAGGCTGAGTGAGCCGGCCACAGTGGCCGGCCGCGAGGTCTAACACATGAACCGTCTTCGCCCGCTCGAACACTGGGATCGTGGGTTCGAATCCCACTCGAGGCATGGATGTCTGTATGCGTTTATTCTGTTTGTGTTGTTCTGTGTGTAGGTAGCGCCTTGGGACGGGTTGATCCCCGTCCAGGGAGTTCTACCGACTGTGCGTAGATTACTTACTTATGGAGCTGAGCCCGTCTTGAGGAGAAGCCAAATCTGTAGCCACTCAAGAATTTCCCAGCATCTTATGAAACCCGAAGGTTCATTACCGTGTTCACAAGAGCTCTCCACTGGTCCCTATCCTGAGCGAGATCAATCCAATCCATACCATCCCATCCTATCTCTCTAAGATCCATATTAATATTGTCCACCCACCTACGCATTGGTCTTCCTAGTGGTCTTTTTCCTTCTGGTTTTCCCACCAATATCCTATATGAATTCCTTTTCTCGCCATTTGTGCTACATGCCCAGCCCACATCACCTTCCTTGACTTGATCATTCTAATTATACTTGGAGAAGAGTACAAGTTATGTGTAGATTAAGAAACTGCAAAAGCGGCCAAGGTCCACAAGGGCTGTAGAGCCGTAGATACGTACAGATCCATCTACTTGAAAAGAATTGCCTCAATTATCTAAGCGAAAAATCAGAATTATGGAAAAGTCCAGACTGCGTTTAGATTTGCTTAGTTTGCGGAGCTCTGTACGATAAGACTTGCTGCTGCCGGACAAGGGCGTGAGCGTGCACCTCTGCAACCTTGCCATACAGAGTTGTACACGCTGTCGCATTCCAGCAGCACACTTCTTTCCAGGCCCCGCAACCTGCCGACCCATGGCCGGGTATTCGTGACGCCCTTGTCGAAGGCGCCGTTTGTCCACAACTCGATGATCTGCAGGGCTACTTTTATATAGGACATGAAGACTGCCTGCTCCTCAACGTGTACACATGCCAGGTAAGAAAAACATCTGTACCTATAAGCTCCTCGTGAGTCTACTCATTATGAGAGTAACACCCACATATCGCAGGCTTTGGCGAATTTATGGCACCCTTGGCAAGCTGCTTTGCGATAAAGGCAAAGTTGTCCCTGTGCTTAACTAATTAAGCACAACACCATGGAGACGTATGGGGGAGTGGATGTATAGATCCACATTTTTTTTATCTCGGCACTAGTTGGAGGTGAGCGGTCAGTTTCAAGCCTCGGCCGCGTTACCCCCGGGAAAGAGCCCCCGGTAACCATTTGATAGGAGGCTGGATGGGACCAGAGCCGCTCTGCACGACTTGGAGAAAAGAAAATTCTTGACCCTAGTGGGACTCGAACTCCGACCCATCGGTCATCCAACCCTTAGTCAGTCGCTATACCGACTTCGCTATACTGTAAATGTAAAGCAATCCCTGTGCTCAATTATTTAAGCAATAAGACATATGGGGGCATGGGTGTGTATCCACTCAATCCTTGACCCCGGCACTGCCAGGTGAGTGGTCAGTTTCAGCATTCCCCGGGAGCTTTACCGGTGTCCATAGGACGGGAGACTGTGTGTTCCAGAGCGGGTCTGGATGCTATGAAGTAGAGAAAGAACCTTTTGTCTCTGCTAGGAATCGAACCCTGGCCGTCCAGCCGTAGCCCATCGCTATCGAATACGAAATTTAATCTTGAAGCAGTGAAATAGCTGTTGAACTGAGTGTCGAGGAACACGCTGTGTTACTGTGTGTGGAGTTCATGTGGAAGCGCGTCATTCCCGCATCTCAGGAGCTGCAGACGCTCAGGTCTTATCGTCTGTGGAAACTCACGCCGGCAGCGTTGGCACATCTCGCTTCGTCGCTACAGTTGTACACGTAGGGGCATGTTCCTTAAACTGTTTGCTTGGAGCTGAGCCCTTCTTGAGAAGCCGCCCGTTGCCACATTATATGGAACCCCAAGATACATTAAAATATTCAAAAGAGGATTCCTCTGCTCCCTGTCCTGAGTCAGATCACATCCTATCACTCTAACGTCCATTTTAATATTATCCCCCATCTACATCTAGGTCTTCGTACTGGTCTATTTCCCTCTCACTATCCCACCAAAATCCTATGTGCATTCAACTTCGGCCCCTTGCGTGTTACATGTTCTGCCCACCTCATCCTCCTTGAATTGATCATTCTAACTATACTTGGAGAAGAGTACAAGTTATGAAGCTCCTCATTATGCAGTTTTCTCCAATCTCCTGTCACTTCATCCCTCTTCGGTCCAAATATTCTCCTCAACACCCTGTTCTCAAACATCCTCAGTCTATGTTCCTCCCTTAATGTCAGAGACCAAGTTTCAAACCCATACAGAAGAGGAGAACGTTCCATGCATAACACAGACCTTCTGAAGTCAGATGGTAGCAAGACAGCTCAAGGACGTCAAGTATATTTTTACTTGACTATAATGCGTACCGCGTTGCAAGATTTCTGTCGCATAATCGCGGGGGTTAAAGAATAAAAATAATTGCTCACTTTATTCCAAATTAAGCGCAGAACATTTCTTAGTCAAAGTACCCACGCTCATGCTGACAGTGTTACTGCTCTCTCACAGAATGTGTGACGAATTGACGAGACAGACCTAAGAGTGTGCTGTTAATTGTTTAATTTGACTTTTATCGTATTATGTTTCTATGATTTCCTAATGATAGTAGATTATTAAAACCTGCCCTGAGGGAGACAAAACTGCACAATGAACCCGCTCTCATCCCACGCCAAATTAGCTGCACAAAATCAATCTTGCGTTGAACCTCGGGAAGTGAACTCTCGCTACATAAATCAGGCATCCGTTCCCGCAGATAACTGAAACCTGACAGAGCTGTACACTTTTGGGGGGATGGTGTGACAAGGAGATGGGTCATTCTTGAGAACCCAACAGTTGAGATACTCGTATTTACTGCCTGGAGCAACAGAATTTACTACTGTGCTGAAATCTGCCTAGAGACTAATATATTTCATATTAATCCCCTTATAATTAAAAAACGTGGATCGTAATAATAAACAGAAAAATATATTAATTAATAATATCAATCCAACCCAATTAACTGTAATCAACTTAAAAAACCCAAATAATCTAGCCTATATTTCTGGACAGTTACGGTGTCAGCAAGAGTCCCTCAGCTGGACACTATTTTGATCCAGTCAAAAACTTCCTGCCTGCAGGTTTCGCGCTCTACACGTCCCGTGCCTCGTTATCCTCCTTGATGTGATCACAAAGCAGACAAAATTAAGTGAAATGTTTCTGGTTGATGTACAGATAAAAGCGCGAGTGATATGGATAAATTGCCATAAACCAAAATATTCCTAGTTCATCGGAAAACAATGAAGAGAAACTCAGGATTATAATTTCGAATACTGGTACATGTAACCGGAAGCCGGGATGGCTCAGTCGGTATAGTGACGGGCTCTGGACTGGAGGTCGCGGCTTGATTGCCAGAAGGGGTAAGAAATTTCTTTTCTTCAGTGTCCAGACTAGTTCTGGGACCCATCCAGTCCCCTATCCAATGGGTACTGACGGCTCTTTTCCCTGAGAAAGCGGCCGGGTCGTGAAACTGGCCACTCACCTCCATCTAGCGAACAAATAGAAGTGGTCTAAAGGTGGTCTCAACTCTGGTTTCTGGCTGGCCAACCTGTGGTTCACCTAACGTTTTTCAATTTACAAGACTAATAATTAATTTCGAATAAACTGAACACAAAATCGACCCATCGTTAAATAAAAGCATACCCATTAATAACCTATGACTCAACATGCTTTCGGTACTGGTACCTGTAGGCCAAAATATGTATTTTCTTTTCCAGCTGCCATCGTCAGGTCTCAGCGATTATAAAGCCGTTATGGTGTGGTTTCATGGAGGTGGTTTCGGCTTTGGATCGGGTAACACAGATTTCTACGGACCAGACTACTTGCTGGAAGGGGGCGTGGTCCTTGTTACTGTAAACTATCGCCTTGGACCGTTAGGTAAGTCAGGATGAAGCCAATTGAACACATTTGCCGCACTGGGAGAGCAAGTTATGCAGACTTTTTTTTCGTTTACCCCATTGTTCCAATCGCCCGAACATTCCATTCCGTTAAAACTTGGCATGAAGTTAAAATGATGCGTCTCTTTGGCCTAAATTTAATACCTGCGCTTCCAGATGAAAACTCAACGTCGTTTACTTACTAATAAATTGCAAACGAAAAGCTGAGACTTAACTGCATGTAACAGATTGAATAAAATCTGTAGGATCTGGAGCGGAGAATGCGAAAACCGTGTTCTAGAAATGCAAATTATACCTCAATTGATTCATAAAGTATATGGAATGAGTATTGTGGCGTGCCGCCTAAAAGCCGGAATATCTTGAGTCAAAGCGAGCGTCCATTGCTAGGCAACGGATTGTTAAAACATGTTTCCGAGACAGCGCATACATAACAGAAGTACCACGGAAAGGAAAGCCAGAGCTAGGGTGGTTCCCGTTGTAACGAGTACACTAGCTAACACGTGAAACGGAACCCTTCAAGGAGATGTCTACTAGTCCATCCGACAGTAGAAGATAAGAGATCAGAGGAGAATTGAGAACAGGCCGAAGAATCCCCGTGTGGAGGCGGGGTCGAATACCTCCACCGTGACCCTGCGAGTCGTAGGAGGCGACGAAAAGGGAAGTCTCAAATGTGAGACAGTAAAATATGGTCGCAAGTCCCAAGGGACTAGGACCCGAGAAACACTGCGCTGGCAAGGGCCAGCAGCATATACAAAAGACAGACCCATCCTCTAGTCAGAGAGGGCTCATCACAGAAACAAGACCGTAACTGTTGAGGAGCAACAAATATCTGGTCATGAGCATCAGGAGGGTGCTCGATACCAAGACTTACTTACTGACTGACTGATCGTCAGTCGCAATATGACTTTGACTTGAGAACAGGCCAGAACTGAGAACAGAGGCGAACGGAGCAGAGCTGAGAGCAGAAGAAACCAGCTCAGCGAAGGACCAGAAGACGAAACGTGAGAGACGACAGATAGTCAGGTCGCATCGTCTGGAAGGAGCTATTTCAGCGTGACTGTAGTTGGAACTGTAAACAAGTCATCCAGTAAACAGCTTCCACTATTTCGCAACCCATTAACTTCCTGTCACGTTACCAGGAGACGTTACAGCATTTCAGGCCACCTTCCCTTCTCAAGAAAAGTATGTTTATGAGATCGCCATTGTGTCTGGGAGCCCGTTTCAATCTGTCAACCATCTGACTTACTTTCAAGACATTTGGAATGAACTTTATGGTTTTGAGATGGAAGCAATACTTGACCAGGTAACAGAGGGTGCGAAATTATGGTAGTAAATCTTCGAAGAATATTCGACTTTGGTTAAGATCATTCTTTTCAGAAAATAAATAGAATGGCGGACGCAGGAAAATATGCATTTACTAGTTTCACTTTGACAGCTGTAGTTCGTGATCGTTTGGAGCTAGAAATATAAAATTCTGCATGGTTCTTTCAAGGTATAAATTGCCAGGTAGTGATTAAATTCCGGCAGAACTGATTCACGCAGGGGGTGAAACATTACGGTCTGAGGTCCATAAACTTAGTAATTCTATCTGGCATAAGGAGAAATTGCCTGATCAGTGGAAGGAATCTATTACTGTACCAGTTCACAAGAAGGGTGATAAAACTGACTGTAGTAATTATCGGGGGATATCACTGCTATAAACTTCATACAAAATTTTATTCAATATTCTTCTGTCAAGGTTAAGTCCGTACATAGATGTGAAATTATTGGGGATCATCAGTGTGGGTTTCGACGTAACAGATCAATTGCTGATCAGATCTTTTGCATTCGTCAGATACTGGAGAAAAAATGGGAGTACAATGAGACAGTACATCAGCTATTTGTAGCATCAAGAAAGTCTATGATTCAGTTAGAAGGGAAGTATTGTACAATACACGTATTCTCATAGAGTTTGGGTTAGCCATGAAACTAGTTAGGCTGATTAAAATGTGTTTAAACGAAACGTATAGTAAAGTCCGTGTAGGTAAACATTTGTCTGATAACTTTCCTATCCAGAATGGTCTAAAACAAGGACATTATTTATCGCTACTGCTTTTCAACTTTGCTTTAGAATATGTCATTAGCAAGGCCAAGGAAACCAGGTGGGACTGAAATTAAATGGGATATATCAGCTGCTGGTATACGCTGATGATGTGAATCTCCTGGGTGATAATATAAATACCATAAAGAAAAATATACAAACTTGAATCGACACAACTAAAGAGGTTGGTCTAGAAGTAAACACAGAGAAAACTAAGTATAAGTTGCTGTCTGGTCACCAGAATGCAGGGCAAAATCATGACGTAACGATAGCTTATGCTCGTTATACTGTGTCACTCAACATGTTGTTATGCTTGGAGTGATATATTCTAAATTTTTTATGTTATGTGTAAAGGCAGATCCCCGTGATGAAGATGATATGTCGACATAACATCATGACGGGGATCTTCACAGGAAGATTCCTGGCACTCATTTCTGTTAGAGGCTGAGTCGACCCCAGGACCACAGCGCGGCTGGAAGGATTAGTTCAACTGAAAAATTCAGTTACCTCATATTTGGATTCGGGGCAGAAGTAGGGTGATAATTTTTTCCTTTTACAGACAAGAAGATAAGGAATCCCTCAAGTTAACTTCTAGCGCACAACAGTGCTGCCAAGAATCCCTGTTTGGCCATTTCTATATATCTTCTCTCTTCTGTTGTTTGTCTGCAGGGTTCCTCAGCCTTCCAGACGCGGGAGTTCCCGGAAACGCGGGCCTGAAGGACCAAGTGATGGCTCTGCGTTGGGTTCAGCAGAACATTGCGCGGTTTGGGGGCGATCCCGGTAACGTCACCATCTTCGGGGCCAGTGCTGGAGGGGCCAGCGTGCATTATCACATGTTGTCTCCCATGTCGGCAGGTGAAATTGCCTTGCGTTTGGTACTTGGCGCTGATGAACGCTGGATATGACGTAATTGGAGTTATACGGTACAACAGCGTAATTTTTGTAGTTTTTTTTTCTGAATTTCTTTCTAGAGTAGGCCCATAGTGAGTGAAGTGGGTCGAGCGGTAAAGCTTCTAATTTGTATTAGGCAGGCTGTCGGTTCGAATCTTGGTCAGGACACCGACTACGCGGGTGTTCATAATAAATGCTAACAAGAAAAAAGAAACCGGGAGAACATAAGCCACGAGATACTGTCACGGTACAAGAGTTATAAAACACACACCTCTAACAACATTAATGGGTTTTCTCAGTTCCTCCACGAAAATGCTAATAGTGTCTTAAATTTAGCCATGGCGCCTTCCTTCCACAACCTCACCAATTTATTATACAGTGTCATCTACTCATTTTATGCTGCAAAGCCCGAGTTACTGATAGCATTATTATAAATCTACCAACACTCGGAATAAAGTTTACAAGCCGGTAGTTGTTTCAGCACTACCAATAGTAAGTTTGCTGCAGAGAGCAGAACCGTTCTCCTGTAGCTAAACAGTCTTCCAGCTGCGCGAGAAATTCGTCGCCTTTCATTGATTCCGAAACTTGTTACCGTAATCAAAAAAGCGTGTCACTGGTCTCTGTTCTTAGTGAGACGAACCCAGTACACAACCTCACGGCCTCTCTCTGCGATTCATTTGAATCTTCTCTTACCATCTACACCTAGCTATTTCCTTAGAATTTTCCGAGTAAAGTGATGTAGGATTTTAATTTTCCCCGAGTGCTACACGCCCCGTTCATCTCATCCTTCTAGAATTTATCTCTCTGCCAATTTTAGTGATAAGAATTAAAATTATGAGATTCCACTCTGCGCTATTCACTCCGGCATTTTGACGTTTCTTTGTCTTAGCTCCCAATACTCCCCCTGGCACCCTGTTCTCAGACATTCTCTAGCCACGTGGTCCCTGTAGCGTCACAACCTAGTTTACAAAAAACAATTTTCCAGCTCTTGAACACTTTACAACTATTCATAAAATCAACCACTCTAGCTTCATACGGTTATAAAACAATTATTTTAATAGATTCTAAATGGATCTGATGATTGTATACAACAATCAGAATTACTTCGTTTGTCGTCCGGAAACTGGATCTGTTTCCGTCCTCAGGTGAGGGGGAAGACACCTACTCTGCTGGGTCCCTTAGAAAGAGCTAACTTCAATCATTGGACAACCCATCTTTACGTCTGACGGTTTACCGCCAATCAGTTCGTCTTTGCGACAAGCCCCTCGAGACCCACGACCAGTAATTTTATTTCCCAACTGAACACTTGAGGTTACAGTCCTCATGTAACACCCTCTCTCAGTAGACGATGGGTCTGTCGTTTAAAACTGCTGCTTGTCCTCGCCAAAGCAGTCACTCTCAGGTCCGAGGCCCTCGGGGACCATGATCATTCGAGACTCCCAAAACCTGGAGGGTCAGGTCATCTTATTTATATCCCCCTCCGGGAACAGGGTGGCCCGATTATAACCCCAGGCACTGGATTCCCTTTCCGTTGCTTCCTACGAGTCCCAGGGCTAAGGTGGGATTCGGACAGTACAGATTTCCTGTTATCTCCCATCGACATAGCCTGGTCCCATTTAGTTACGGTAAATAGCTGTAATGAATCGGAGACAACCCATCTCAAGTTCAAGTAAAAGTCCAGGTCACATTGCGACTGACAGTCAGTAAGTCTTGGTGTCGAGCCCCACCTGGGACTCATCACTAGATATTCATTACTATTCGACAAAGGTATTCGACCCCCACCCCCGCTCAGATTCACTACAGCTATTTAAATAAATGACACCAGAGTATGTCGAAGGGAGATACGAGGAAATCTGCAATAAAAATTGTGATGAAGCGTGCACAATCGTAGAACTAAGATAGAAAGGGAGGTAAAAATATATGCTACATACTTAACTAACAATCCAATGCGTAGTATTACGTAAAGGGAGAATTTGTGAAACCAGATTGTGTCTTCCGTTAGAGCCATCTCTGGAGTACAGCCTGAAGATCCCGAAACTAAAACCTTATAGAAACCATGAAGAATCTGTCACACCATACAGATCTCGATAAGCTGGTGACCTCATTTTTGATGAGGGGTATCTAGACGGGAGAAAAGCAGAAACCGGGTTGGCTGATCGGATTGGTTAAGCATATCACATGGTCCGATTCCTTGCATTTCCTATACCTGCTGTCACTTTCAGTTTCCTAGCTTCATCCCAGCCTACCCTATGCCTCTCTTCATAGGGTTCTGAGCTATGTCTGACTCTTCTGGAAGACCCTCTTTGAGGCTGTGCCTATGTTCTAGTCACCGCCGTGAAAACCTCAAATCTTACACGATTCCCTGTATGTTTGAATTCTCTGAAACACCCTTCACGTATCGTTGTCCAGTTGTTCGGGCCGCGCTGTGTTCTTATGCGTGGCCCGAACAACTGGACGGCGCCACTAAAGAGTCCTATTAGTCAAACAACGGAACCAAGACGCGGTAGACACTCAACTTCCTTTATAGAGAAACGGTATAAAGGACACGAACCAAGCTGGTTCTAGATTAAAAAAAAAAAATTAAACCATACTTGTAAATAAACTAATTATAATAATTTATAAATATTTTAGCAAATTCATGCACATCGCAGTAATTATTAAAGGATAATATTTTATATTTATGAAGTTGTAAGAGTAGTTTCCGTATGTACTGATAATGGCTTTCTGAAGATGGTCGCTCCGCCCGAAACATGCAAAGGATGAAAGATTAAAATAACACAACATTTATCAATCGCATTTGACGGCGTTAATAACCTTCTATACTATTACCAGTGTGAGGGACCAGGATGAACCTAAGTTTAATTAAATATGAGCAAATTGCATTGCAGGGCTCTTCCACCGCGCCATTATGCAGGGTGGTTCAGCTGTTAACCCATGGGCTTACGATGATCCCCCTGCTGCTCGTAGGAAGGCCTTCCGGCTGGGAGAGATGCTGGGTTTAAAGACTGCAGACCCCAAGGAATTGTTCCAATTCCTCCAAAGTTTATCAGCAAAAGAAATTTTGACAGGCTTGCACAAGGGGCTGACGGACCAGGTAAGGATATGCTTTGTCTTAAAGTAAAATAAAATATTTTCCTTTGTGTATATTTGCCTCCTTTACAATATACAGAGGCCTCCCTGCAGTACTGAAAAATGCAACCTTAGTCGTAGTCGTAGTCGTGGTCGTAGTCGTAGTCGTAGTCGTAGTCGTAGTCGTAGTCGTAGTCGTAGTAGTAGCAGCAGCAGTAGCAGTAGCAGTAGTAGCAGTAGTAGTAATGTATACCTCTCACAGTAACTGAACCGTCTATTCGTTATTGTTCCCTATTCAGGACACTTTCCTGCTCGTTCTGTATTCAGTACCCACACAAGACAATGAGAACGGCTATGGAGAAGTTTTCCTTCCCGACTCTCCTCGCTCTCTCCTCGCTAGAGGCAAGTTCTCTGATGTTCCCCTTATTGCTGGCATCTCGTCGCACGAGGGCATGCTCATGCTGAATGGTGAGTTTGTAACAAGAGTTGGGTGAGGGAGAAGAACACGGTAACAGCAGTTAAGGTATCTAAGTAGACCAATGCATCACAGTTGAAATAGACCGAAAAATTTCACCCATATAGTATTACGATTTTTTTTTTTTAATTTTTAAATTCGCTTAGTTGGGGGTGGAGTCCAACCGGGTCCACTCGGCACGGTGGGCACTGATTGGCCTATTGTAGCCTGCCCCGGGTAAATATGATGGAGAATTTGGTGGAATGAAGATTGGCAGGGGAAACCGAAGTACTTGGAGAAAACCCGCCCCAGCGCCACTTTGTCCACCACAAATCCCACTTTACCAGACCCGGGGAGCCTGCGACTAACCGTTTGAGCTATGGTGGGGCCCATATTTTGCGATAATACCACCGTAACTTCTCTGGCCCCTTCTGAGCAAGAATGACTCAACAACAGTTCTTGTGGTCTGACAAGCATTGGACATGAGAACCACACAAAACAAGGCAGAAAATTAAAATTCTGAAAAATGTTAAAAATATTAAAACTGTATATAATTAATCTTGATGGCACAGGCGTTAATGACATAGGCATACTTATGTTTCCCGAGCACACTGATAACCACTTCTGGAATTATTACACCCAATTTCACGTTTATCACTTACAGTACACTCCGTGCATAACAGCCTGTCCAATATCGTTAATTTTTCTCTAATATTTCAAATAAGTGAAAGGGCTACTACATTAGAAGCCAAACATTTTATGAAAGTCATTTACGTCTCTTTAAAAGGTTCAATAAAATCAAGGCACCTTGTATTAAACTATACAAATGGCACAAAATTGCTACATGCTGTTTTTGCAATAATAATACGCACCCTTGCACTTTCAGTTGCGTTGTGGGACAAATTCGCTTTCTCCACTGAACCCTGAACAGATGAACAGGCTTCAAAATGCCTACTCAAGCAATTACTTACTTATTTACTTACTTACTTACTTACTTATGGAGCTAAGCCCTTCTTGAGGAGAAGCCAAATCTGCAGCTACTCAAGAATTTCCCAGCATTTTATGGAACCCGAAGGTTCATTACCGTGTTCACAAGAGCTCTCCACTGGTCCCTATCCTCAGCCAGATCAATCCAATCCATACCATCCCATCCTATCTCTCTAAGATCCATTTTAATATTGTCCATCCACCTAAGCCTTGGTCCTCCCAGTGGCCTCTTTCCATCTGGCTTTCCCACCAATATCCTACATGCATTTCTTGTCTCTCTCTTTCGTGCTACATGCCCTGCCCACCTCATCATCCTTGACTTGATCATTCTAATTATACCTGGAGAAGAGTATAAGTTATGAAGCTCCTCATTATGTAGTTTTCTCCAACCTCAAGTTACAATGGCTCTGCTATTATCCAGCAACAAGTATTCATTTACGTGGCATTAGCATCCAGTGGCTCTATGTTACAGCGCTCCTGAAGAAACCACATCTTCTCACTTTTGTGGATAACAATTTCCATCTCCTACTTCCCACTACCTTGGATGTCGCAGACAGATCAGATGCCATCACGGAAATCGTACAAAAAGTGAAGCATTTCTACTTTGGAAACAAATCCCTTTCGAAGGAAACACTGTCTAACTATGTGGAAGTAAGTTGACGCACTTTTGAGGGTTTCTACCTGTTTTTCGCTTACAGAGCCAACAGAGCATTCCTCCTCCAGAAATTAAGTGCGGGTTGTCTCTTGTTTTCTTTACGTAGCTCATCTCTGATGTTCAGTTCGCCAATGGAATCAACTACACCATAAAGCAGCACGTAGCATTTTCCAAGTCTCCAGTTTTCTATTACCACTTTGCGTTCGAAGGAAACCGTGGATTACTGAAGAATATACTTGGATTTCAGAATCTCTCAGGTAAAATACCTGTACTTTCAACAATAGGGGTAACAATATTGTGGCGTATTTACTCTAATCAAGGACTGCTGAGCCACAGAAACAGCCGTTGCTAAGTAATGCACACACGCAACAACAGAATAACGGGGTTACGCAATCCATTTCTAGGCAATGGAGTTATGCGCTGGTAAAGAACGTTTGCAATCATGTATGGGGAAACGATTATCAGTTAAAGATTCTGAAACCCCAAAAAGCCCGCCAAGAGATATCATCTTCCTCTCATGATGTTTCTAACAAATCAAGTTGACGGATTTCCTTTGGTCTCTCCCAATACTGTATCACGTGAAATGTTTTGTTTAAATCAGAAGACACTGGATACTCACGTTCTCTCTAAATATTTTGGTTCTTTGTGCATAAAAAACATGAAATTTATTATCAATTAACTTCATACGTAATACGAATATTCCAAAATCATCTCAATATTATCTTCATTGGCTGCATCCTGTTGCAGGTTCCAGATATATATAGGAATTATGTTAACCGTCAACACAACACATATACTCAGTTTTACAATTCCACCTTTATTGCTGCTACATGTTTCGGCCGTACAAGACCATCATCGGGCAGTTATATATAGGAATACGTACAGTTACTGAACTACCGATATGGATCCACATCGGTGCAACGTGTCGTATTATGTACTGACATAAAGTTTTGCCTTAAGTTGGTGTTACAATTAAAGTGGAAAATACAAAATAAGATAAAAGATAAATATGAAAAGTATACCATACATATATAAAGATTTATAATGTGTTGAATATATATATATATATCTGAAGTTGTTTTAAAGCAAATAAATTCTAAGGCTCTTCTGCTGTGCCACTAAAGAGGGGCAGTAGTTGATATCATGACAAAAAAAAATTAAGATAAAATGCAGATATAAGAGGGAAGTCCTGTGTGTGTGTGTGTGCGCGCGCGTGTGTCAGACTATTTCTGTGTATCTTTTCAGTCAATCTGTATTTTGAAACAAATGTGCTTTACTTTATGAAAAATACACTAACTACAATTTGAGGTCTAGTGGCCAGAGTTCCTGCCTACAGATCCAGAGGTCCCGGGTTCGATTCCGGGTACTACCAGAATTTCCGAGGAGTAGTGAGTCTGGAACGGGGTCCACTCAGCCTAGTGTGGATAACTGGGGAGCTATTTCAAGGAAATAGCGGCTCCCGTCTAGAAAACCGAGATTAACGGCCGTGGGGATCCGTTGCGCTGAACACGTGACAGCCTCTATCCGCTAAAGTTGGCACTAACTTCGCCGACAAGCGGCGGTCGCTCGGTCGGTAGTTCGCTTGCGGATTACAGGCCACGGAATTTCATAATGTAATATTTAATTGACACTAGACATCTTACTTCTTTTAAATGCAGATTTTATTTGTACATTAGGAACATGCCACGGGGATGAGGTCGGATACCTCTTCAATCCATCGGTACTGGATCGAGCCATGGATCCTGAGTCGCCGGAGGCAAAGATGAGTCAACGTCTCGTCAAACTGTGGACTAATTTCGCCAAAACAGGGTATACAATTTAAGTAGTTTGGCTGCTTGTGGAATTTGAGCAAGAGCTGGGTTCCGCAATACGTGTACAAATGTTCTGTGTTTCTGTGTTTCCCACGTTACGTCTTTACGTGGATTTCAGTGGCTGTGAATAATCCTATTTGGACTTATAAAAAAGAAATTATTCTCTGACGCAATATATCTCTCCACCTTCACTGATACAAATCCATAATTCGAAACAAATATTTTTGGTAACGTTTGGGTTTCTTTAATTCGTTGAATTCAACTCCAATCCTCAATTTTTCCTATCGCCATATTAAATAAATAAAACTTGACTATCTAAATTTCTGTCTAGAGTTGAAGAGGATAGAGTAGTATGGACTGGATTGATCTGGCTCGGGATAGGGACCAGTGGAAGGCTCTTGTGAACACGGCGATGAACCTTCCAATTCCATAACTAAGCGAATGGCTGCTGCTCAAGAAGAACAGCTCCATGCAGTTAGTTAGTTAGTTAGTTAGTTAGTTAACTTATGCCATATGTAATGGTTGCAGTCTCTCGCCATTAGGCCACTTTCGAACCCCTCACACCCCATTTGCGTTCTGCTTGATAATTCCAATAATGAGAGCATTTTCGTGTGACAGTTCACTGAATACAGTACTGGTTATTATCATTTCAGAAATCCAACGCCTGGGCCTGACCACGTGCTGGATGTGACCTGGAAACCAGCCACAACATCGGAATTGGTGCACCTGAATATTGAGAAAGAAATGAGCATGCGCCACAATCTTAGATCGGGAAGTACATCTTTCTGGGATGGCATAAATGAGACTACACCAGACTAACGCGACTGATGTTCGCATCCGTCACACCCAATCAAGGCTCCGTATCTGAGATGAAAAATGAGGAACCCAGCTACACAGGCAAGCGTTACTTACAGCCGTATGCTGCAAACTATGCTCGAAAATGGATCAGATAAAGCAAGCAAACATTTTTATGAAATGCTTAAGCTGAAAAATATGCTGCAATGTTTTAATCTTTCCAGTTGAACAAAATTAAATTTAAAAATAAATAAAAGTGAGTTTGTTTTATGGTTAATTTTAGATTATATTGCCCCGTATCAGTCTCAAACAGATATTTTTATTATCAGTAACCCATGTTCAGTTTCTGTTATTGCACTTTGTTTTCCACACAAATATATATATACTGGAATGAGAAAAATGTTTAACTCGCGCTCCTCAAATATAGGCAAGTTTGGTAATTCCCAAGGACGGTTTAGGAAACATGGCCCCTGGCCGATCAATCCTCACGGCACCTCCTCCCACACACAGAGAAACTGTACGGCTTTCACAGTTTACGATTACACGGTCATCATTCGTCGAACCCCCTGACTGAAAATGACAACTCAGTTTAATTCTTATTTGTTTGTGTACTAACTCAACAGCTCAAAGGCCAATTGCAAAGTGAGCACTAGTACAGAGTACAGAGCAAGGCAATTTATAATCTCTGAGTAATAATGATGACACTAAAGTAGTAATAATAATAAAAATCAAAGTTATAATTTAGGAGGTCATGATAATTCAGTTCGGTTGCGGCCCTTTATTTCAATGTCAGTGGCCTAGAACAGGCGAACAGTAAAACTGTACATAACAAAACCTAGACTACGGTTAGAAGTAAACTAGAACCACAACAGATTAAAATGTATTTTTTTTTCTTTATGGCTCTGCAACCCTCCGGACCTTGGCCGATTTTCAGTTTCTTAATCTACACACAATCGGTAGGACTCCTTGGACGGAGGATGGCCGCTACACACAGAACAACACAAACAGAATAAATGCACATAGATGTCCATGCTTCGAATGGAATTCGAATCTATGGTCCAAGCGTTCCAGCAGGCGAAGGCGGTCGATGCCTTAGATGGCGCGGCCACTGTGAGCGCTGAATTCCCGACTACCGCGGTCCTTGCTACTGCTGGTGATTACAATGGCAGCATGGCAAAGCTGATACTCGTAACTCCTGAAGTACAACACAGCAGATGTTTAACAACATTAAGTCTCACGGAGCTGGCACCGCACCAGTCACTCACGGAATTAAGGTCAGATTGGAGTAAGAGGCAATCATGTCGCAAGTTCATAACGCTGTCAAGTTTTAGATCATCAGCAAAGATTAAAAATATGCAATGGCTAATAGGAACGCGAACCGGAAATTGTTGTTTTTGTAACTGCGAAGCCAGCTAACGTAATCAACGGAGAATCCAAAGGAGTTTAGCTTATGCAAGAGCAGCGTATGGAAAACGAGGTGAAAAACATTTGAATGTTCAGAATAGCTTGACGGTGAAGGAGGACAACAGGCGTCATAAAGTCAAGAAACGTTACCACATTACTAACTGTAGATTCAGATTTGGTGAAGCCATGTTAGTTGGGATTTATCCCGCCAACATGGCCCAGAATGGGATGTGGAAAGCACACGAGCAAATCCAGTTCGAAAGATACTGAGTGTGAAGACATGTTTAATGCCATGAGGGCGGGTGGCAACGGAGTCAGTGACCTTCACTAGAAAATTTGTTCCAGGACCCTTAATCAAAGAAACTGGGGACTTTCGCGACTGAACACGAATTGCTTAAATCTGTGACAGGACAATTAACGCGTCATTGCCGCTTAAAAACGTCTAAAAAAATTTAGTTTATTTAATATTCATACATTCATATGCAAGATGTGAGGTTTTCACAGCGGTGACTATGAAGAATGCCGTCTTCTGGGATGTGACGCCGTGTAGATTTTATGTGAACTGACGTTTCGGAGGAACACATCGCCTCCATCTTCACGGTAGAAAAATTCGCTGCTGCAGCCACCTGCTCACGGTGGTTCCTCGCTCGTGGATTTTTCTACCCTGAAGTTTGAGGCGCTACGTTACTCCGAAAAGTCGATTCACACAAGATATATACACGGCGCGACATCCAGGAGACGGTGTTCTTCAGCTGCTAATATACCTATGATCTCCACCCGCGGACATTCGAAAATCTCAGGTGCTATCCCACCCCCTTTGAGGGTCGTTTATATGACAGATATTTCCCTCCTTATTTCTTGTAAGGGGAACTTTACCCAAAATATCATAATGCTTTCTGGAGGTGGTACAAGCTTCGCCATTTTTGCTCATGAAATAAGACTCTTGTTTTTGTACTGCTTTCTCTGGCAACCGGCTGAGAATTTCTCCTGCTAGGTACTGCAACTGTCATTGCTTTACATAAATGTACAACAAGCTCTGCGTTTCTTCCGCGAATAGTCAGTAACAGCTTCCGTGTGATCACGATTTCTTCTGCCAAGTCTGTGAAGAAACCTTCCCTACAAAGTTTCTGGGTACAACCGCATTTACGCAGCGTCTGCCTTTGTCTACTTCATAAAATTTCAGAGACTAAAAAAAAAAGCCTGATTTATTGCTGACTCTGCCTGTCTATGTGAACATCGGGCAATATTCTCTCGTAGTCTTCTCTATATTGTTTCGGCCTAACCGGAAGTCATCAGGTGTACAGGCTGTTGCGCTCAAGGACTCTGCTGACCACTGTAATGCTGTTCTGCTTTCCTTTTAATGTAATATCCTCGGGCTAGTTCTAGCTTACACGTATGTGGGTTCACAAACTCCTGCCATGCACATGTTTGCCTTATTGTTTTGTTGGTTTGTTGATCTATCTTTCGTTCGGCGTGTCCCTCTCCCGAAACCGTAAGGCAAAAAGTGAAACAGGAAGCTACATTTTAATATTATTTTATTCCATTTATCAGGAATAAAGACAAAAGCAACAAAGTATCGAACAGTTAAGACTGCTGAACATCCCTTCCCGTCCGCCATAGCTAGGGGCTCTTGGGTAGGGCCCTGGCGGTAAAAGAGGGCCGCGGGTGTAACTCGCAATCACAGGGTGCAACATACGTTCACCCTCCAACGAAGCGGCCCTGCAAATTCTGTGCTGCGGATTCTAGCTGCTGTTTCCTTGATTGCCTTAAACCCTAGTGAACATCGTAACGTCACAAATAGCACATCTTCACAGTTTATTTCCGGTTGCTGAGGGACTTAATATTGAGCCTGCGCGAGAGATCGCGCTCCATCGCGGAAGCAGGGAGGTTTCAAGCCCACTCTTCTGTTATGTTATTCTTTCTATCTATTCATCATTCCCGCCATCTTGCTAAACGGTATACTAATGAACTGAATGCGACTTCAGGAGTAAAACGGCAAAGTTACAAAAAACTTGGCGTTCGGTGAAACACTGTCGTAATAATTGCCGTGTTGTTTCGTAGTAACTCGCACAGCAAGTTAAAATTAATAATTAAAATTTCACTGCAACATCAAGGTACATTTTCTAAATAAAGAAAACTGTCATTAAATGACGAAAGTAAAAAGAACATCGAAGTTTTCAGTCCCAGGACAGAAAAAACTTCCTCCTCCGCCATTCTCCTTGTCTTCTCTATCTTCTGTGCACTTCTGCGTCATCAATCGGCAAACACAAAGCAACGGCAATTTTTTCAGTAAGACGTGGAAACTTACCCTTCAAATGAATAAAAAAGAACACGTGACACTTTGGCGTAAAGGTAAAGATATCCCTGTGCTTAACTAATTAAGCACTGCACCTTGAAGGTGTATGGGGCAGTGGATGTATAGATCCACATTTTCTTGACCTCGGCACTAGCTGGAGGTGAGTGGTCAGCTTCACGCTCCTTCCGCTTTACCCCCCGGGGAAGAGCCCCCCGTACTCCATTGGATAGGAGGTTGGGTGGGCCCCAGAGCCGGTCTGGACGAAGTGGAGAAGAGAAAATTCTTGACCCTACCGGGACTCGAACTCGGACCTCTCGGTCGTCCAGGCCGCCGCCAGTCGCTATACCGACTGAGCTATCCCGGCTCCTCTCCACTTTGGCGTAAAGAATATTGTGAAGTGGCAAAACATGTTGACATTGTGGGCCTTATCTCGCGGCAAACCGAAGTAAGTTACAACAACCGTTACACAATTGTTACAACACTTCTCACTTTCCTTACACTTGCACTGTTTACGGTCCTTTCCTTGGCTGCCAACGGTTTCCTTCTGTGTTACACTCTGGGGCGATTATGTATACAACCAAGATACAAATTTTCTCATAAAACTTGACAATATTGCTCGTAAACATGGAACAGCTGAAAGCATCCTAGAAACTGCCAGTTTTTACGACAACCGTTATCATGCAGTTGACACTGAAACCTTACTCTACTTTCACGGATGACCGGATGAAAACCTGGTGGTGAACACGTGGCCCTTAAAGTACACAATGTGTCGAACATGATAAGAGAATGAACAATGCATGTATTATAGCATCGAAATATTCAAATTCTGCTTCTGTTAGTCGGAAAACAAAATGTTCATAACTATTTGCGGAATCTGACGTCACTTTGGCGCTAGAGTGGCACTTGTATTCGAAAGGTGTTGAAGGTGGACATGAAAGGTTAGATCCAAGTATATTTTTAATGTTTAAAATAAACTTCATATTTTCTTTTCTACTGGAGTATACAACTGTGAAACAAATATACTAAATATCCTACTCCCACTGTTTTCCTCAGTTACAATAATTGTAAAAATTCAATCAGGCTTGGTATATTCTATCATACTTCGATGGGTGTATTATATTAAAGGGTGCACAGTTTATCATTAGACTGATTCCCTCAGCCGACACGGCCCCCTTCTTGCATTCATGCCACCCGGTAGGAGATAATTCACGGCCCCCTTTACCGCTGTATTTTAACTTATCCTTTGTTTATAGAATAGTCTCGAAGTGATGACTCCCTGCTTCTACGCAAGCCTCACATCTTGTGAACATTTTTCCAGGCTCACGTCGAAGCAGCTCTCAGAAAATGGAGGGAATTTCGTGCCGCAGTTCTTGCAAAGAGCGCGGACTGTTCACGTACCAGTGTCTCTATGCCTACAGCCTGACGTGTGACGAAAAGGAGGACGCAGCAACGGCATCAGGGTGTCTATGAAGCTCTTGGTGGTTGTCTTTCAGTACGGTAGTTTTGGACAGATATGAGACAGATCGTCGAAAATTGTATAAAACAATAGTAACAACAGAATTCTGTTCTTGGATCTATCTAACAAGAAACAACGGCGTATCAAGGATCCGCAATTTCATATAATTTTAAGAAACTACTGCCTAAAATTAAGAATTGTATTCTTCCTGTATATGCATCTTAGACTATAAATTTACGGAGAACAAGTAATATTCACATGATTTTGTATCTCATCCCACCTTTAACATAATGTAACATGAATTCCCATTGTTGGTCAACGGCTCGATAAACACGTTCCCTCGAAGACAGATTCTTTGTAAACAATCAGTTCCTAGGTTACCTAACAATTCTGACAAAAGAAGAAGTGTTTTCGATGTGGTCCGCACTATGCCCAGTGCTAGGAAAAGGAACTGTAAACACGTCTACAATAAGAGGTGTTTTCTATACGAGGTCCGTGCCGAAGGTTTATAGGGAACAACAAGGGTCGTTTGAGAGTTTATAAGAGGCTTAAACTTGGCCGTTGTAGCGGAAGCTACTAGAAATAGGGCACAATATATGTTGCAATGAGCCTGGACTGACAGAGGCCCTGTATATACTTTATATGCATTCATTATCATGTTTAACATGTAAAATGTAAATATCTTTTAAATTATGACAAATGACTTACTACTGCAGACAACGACTCTGACAAGACAGACCCGTCTTCTCGTCAGAGAGGGCACCCCACAAAATCAAGACGGTAACAGTCAAACAGTAATAAATATCTTGTCATGAGTCCCAGATGGGGCTCGACAACGAGACTGACTGACTGACTGACTGACCGTCAGTCGCAATGTAACTTTGCCTTTGACTTTTCTTTGCGATTTTCAATATGTGTATGATTATGCAACGACCGCCTCTGTGATCTAGTGGTCAGAGTTCCTGGCTACAGAAGCAGAGGTCCCGGGTTCCATTTCCGGGGTTACCAGATTTTCTGAGAGGTAGTGGACCTGGAACGGTGTCCACTCAACTTCGTGAGGATAATTCACGACCTATTTCAAGCTCTCCGATCTAGAAAACCGGGATTAACGGCCGTGGGAATCCGTTGCGCTGACCACGCGACACTCTCTATCAACTAAAGATGGCACTAACTTCATCGACAAGCGGCAGTCGCTCGGTCGGTATAGTTCGCTTGAGGACTATAGGCCACGAAGTTTGTTTTGTTTTTGTTTATAGGATTATATAATAAAATTGTGCAGGCGACAAGCAGAAGTCATACAAAATCATGAGAATGAACATGTTCGCGGTATAGGACAAGCTGAAGCCAGACATAGAGAATATGAGAGGCGGTGGTCAAGCTTACGATCGCTCAAGTGACTACGCTGCCATTGCAGTATAAAGGTACGTAACATAGGCATCATCTGCTGTGTAAAGCCTGTACTGACAAGAGTACTTACGTGTTGTGAAAAGGAAGAATATTTCAATAACAAGCTTCAGCCTCTAACAGAAATGAGTACCAGGAATTAATTAAATAATTTTCCCGGGGAGTAAAGCACGGCCGGCGCGTAAGGCTGACAACCTTACCGCCATCTGTGAGCCGATTGTCTAGATAGTGTGGGACCTCAACGCCTCACAGCGCTATGGGCCTCCACGGCCTGTTACAGGGATAGCTTTACTTTTTACTTTACTTTTCGTGCGATACGTACACTTGACGAAAGGCTAAGCATATTCATAAGAGGCAAACACATTTCTCGTAAGAGGGGACGTCACATAAGGACTATTACTGCAATAGTTCAGTTGGAAAAAGTCTCTGGTCGCGAGTCTCAAGGGTCCTGACGCCAAGACGAATTGATTGGCGGTAAACCGCCAGCCGTAAAATAACTCTGACTTTGATTTTGACTTTGACTTGATTTCGTGAGTAGTTGCAGCTGAGAAGCCGTGAGTCAAAGACACGAGGCCGTCATGGAGAAGAGTTCAGAGTACACGGACGAGAATGGAGCATGTCCTTAATGCACTGGTGAGATTAATTGAGTACAGATTAGGACAGATGAGTACAGAGTGATTAAATCAGACTATATAGTGATTTGAAGTGATAATTTCTATGTTGAGATATGTTGCCAACGGTGGCTGTAAAGTGTGTAGATCAGCGATAGCGCCGTACTGATTGCAATTAAGAATGATGATAACCGAAGTGCCAATAAATCCAATCATCCGACCTAGAACCCGTTATTTTCCACACGAAAATACACTAGGATATCCACATTTCCCAAATAACACTGGATCCCGCAAGGCGCTGCGCAATCACTGCAGCCACAACTGGTTATGCAGACTTCAACAGCAGCACGCAAACTTGTGCCATGACATGAAGACATATGGAGAAGTGGAGGAATAGCTCCAAACATCTTCACCTCGATACTGGATGGAGATGAGTGTTCAGCTCCTCGCCCCAGCCGCTTTACCACCCAATCGATAGGAGGCTGGGTGGGCCCAAGAGCCGGTCTAGATACTGTGGAGAAAAGAAAAATTTTTGTTGCCAGAAACCGAGTCCCGATTGCCCTGTCGCGCAGACAGCAACCTGCCATTCCGGCGTCCCCACTCTGGCGGCAATTCATATTGCAGTCTCCTGTTTTATGGCACCGTGCAGTCTGGTAGGCGGGTACCAACGCCTCTGTCTTCACCTATCATGTGCCCTGCAGCTAAAGGCAGTAAATTCCTCCGAAATGTTGAGACCCACCTGTCACACCAGGCGGTATCATAGCCCACCTGCGGGCTAGGGAAGTGGTTTTCAACTTTTGTCAGACCTCGGCCCCGTAATCATTTTTAGATGAGGGCTCAGTTTGAGTGAAGCCAGGGCCCGGTAACTGGCAGCGGCCCTCCGGTTGAGAAACACTGAGCTAGAGGGAGTCATAAACCGGAAGACCACAGGATGTGCCTATACTGGAGTGAAATTTCTAATCTTATGCACACAAACTTACGTGCGGCCAAGTATTCTCCTTTGTACTTCAAGCTATTGACTGCTTTATGTCAACCAACGTTTCGGTCTCCATCTCCACAGTCGAAAAGCAAACTAAGCAAGAAACCAGCATGAAATAGGATGTTCCTCTGAAACGTCGATAATTTCAACGGCCTACACTGTGTTATATCAAAGAAGACAAAAGTCTTAATAACCACAGCTGTGAGGACCTCGAATATTATATATTCGTAGGAATGAACATTGGTACACACTGCCAATATCAGATTTAATAAAAAATCATTTTTTTTGTACGATTGGAAACGAAACACAAAAACATAAGATACAAACTGACAGTCATGACTCGTTTATGTGTTCATTTCTTGCAAGAGACAACTTAGTCTGCGAAGCCGATTATCAAGAAAGTATAAGTAGTAAGATAAGATACCGATCGAGCAGCAGTCATCGTTTTGCTGGCGTTTTCAACAGCTGTCCGGCAGTTGCTGACTCGCAGTCGAGCCTCTGGTGCGAGCAATAGACGAATGTTTAAAACCGTGAGGTGTGCTCTGTTTGCAGGATTCGACTGCAAATACAGCAACACTGTTCTCTCTAAACATACACATTTATCAAAGGATTGCGCAAACAAAATTCGGTCGTGTGTGGTAAGTTATAACTTTAAATTTCGCGTGAAAGTACACTACATAACCTATACGATATAAGAAAGTGTTTTGAACTGTGATCACGCGGGAAAATCAACAGTGGAAATGTAGAGTACATATGTGTAAGCCACATTATGTATTCTGCTAGTTGGCGCCATAATTGTTCTGGTGTATTTACTGCACATACAAAGCTAATTAATGTTGATCGAATTCAACCACAGGAGACACTAAAACGCTTACGTGTGTAATGGCAGTATTGATGTTGTACGTTTTCTCCCATCAGTGTCCTGAATAGGTAAGATGAAAGGTGAAATTTCCTCCACGCCTAAGCACCACGTTCTGGGCTATTTCGTGTTAAATTCCATAATACAGAACTCTTCATAGTCATTGCTGTGAGAACCTCAAATCCTAAAGTAAGAGAATTGATTTTATATCCGTTAATTATCACTAATAATTGTTACGCCTACAGCTCGGATTTCCGATATTCGAATTACGTCACGTATACTGTCAGTGTAAATATATATTTTCTGCAGAGTCGTTCATGTGGAATCATAACATTGATACATATTAAATGTAGACTAATGACTGTCGACACAACTTCAATGATGACTAATCTTTTTTATTGAAAACCGTTACATGTTTTGACCTAGCAGGTTATCATCAGGCGACACACTAATCGGAACTTTTATTATTGAATTGTATTTATTTTTAAGTACCATATTAAAATATGGATCCAGTTTTCAGTAGTGTGCAACATGAAGGAAGGCCGCAGGTTCGATTCCCGATGTCATTGGATTTTGCAATTGACCTAATTGGCCCAAGTCCAGACCGGCTCTAGGGTTCACCCAACCTCATATACAGTGGGTACCAGGGGTAAAGCGGCCGGGGCGTGAAACTGACCACTCACCTCCAACTAGTGTCGATGTCAAGAAAATGAGGATCTATACATTCACTCCCACATCCGTGTTCATGGCGTAGTGCTTAATTAGTTAAGCACAGGGACAGCTTTACCTGTACCTTTTATGCATCGTCATCTTCCAGGTGTGTGCCCCAGACCTTTTATTCAACTCGCAGGTCGACACAGGCCCTAGTCATTTACACGGTTCATTCATTCGAGTCAGTAGCCATGAGCATTGTCACATATTTTTTGATATCATATAACTTTGCAGTTAACTTTCATTTGGAACATTTTTACAACATGGTGCAAATTTAATAAAATGGAAATAAAAATAATTTATAGTACTATGCATACATTCCGGTCTAGAAAACCGAAATTAACAGCCGTGGGTATTCGTTGCGCTGACCACGCGACACCCTCTATCCGCTAAAGTTGGCACTAACTTCGCCAAGTGGCGGTCGCTCGGTCGGTATAATTCGCTTGCGGACTACAGGCCACGGAGTTTGATGCATACATATCTGCAATCAACGTATATAGAGACCACTTCTGCTCTGTGCTGGGGATTCCCAGGCTAAATCAGTGCGTTAGCTGCGCTTACAGGGATTTCTCCGAGACTTTCCTTTTTATTCTCAGTGATTGCTACCACGTCAAGATGACGTCATATGGAACGTGATGCTAAGTACGAGGTTTGGTAGAGAGATCAGATGAATTCTATCTCTTTCTGGCTCCTCAGCGCTTCGAACCTTGGTCGCTTTTTCAGTTTCTTAATCCAATTCACAGTTGGTAGCACTCCTTGGACCGGTAGTCAGCCCGTTGCAAGGCCGCTACTTACGCACAGAACACAAAGAATAAAAGCACACAGACATCAATTCTTTAGACCGCGCGGCCGCTGTGATTGGCTAGATCATAGAACTACTGCCTCCATACTCAGCAGAGGCTCTTCATGTGAAGGCAGCCGTCTCTTCAGAAACGTTAGTACGTAGCAACTAAACTTTGTGTGGCTACATCCCAGAAGACATACTCGAGAACGTCAACTCTCAAGAGCATTTCACTTTTACCTCAAGAATGCTGTCATAGACTCCCAATCCATGCTGGTTCTGGCTCTGAGGAATCAAGCAAATATAAAACAGTGTTGTCAATATGTCATTTAATTTGTTATATAGAACAATGGTAATTAAGTGTATTGATTAATGAGTGATGTCATGACAGGTCTGAATTTTGGAGATATCTCACTTTATGCATTAAAAGGTTTGTGTGCGCTTAGTAACCATAAGGGTATATTATTAATTAAAAAAAAAATCCTACTCTGGTTTGAATATTAATTAATTTGGGTTGTCTGGTCATAGGTATTGTGCTGATCGTTAGAACGGAAGTTAATTCTTTTGGCTGGCTATGTGTTCATGCTAACACCTCAGTTCTAATCCTGTTAAATACGAGGAAGAGTCAGTAAATAGGTTACAAATGGATATAAAACGTAAAACATGTGATATTCAAGCCTTGAAAAAAAAAATTGGGGTCTATCCTCCACTAACATTCATACACTCACCCCATCACTTTACCAGTGTGTGGAAACCCACAGCATAGAAGTCTTTTGAATATTGTCTCAGCCACTTCCGCACCAGATCGGACATCATCTATAACTTTCAAATGTCCTTGAGAGAATTTCTCAACCCAATTGTGAACCGCTTTATGCGACAAACAGGAAACATTTCTTTATGAATATACTTTGCATTGAGTCCATTTGCTCATACAAAACGCACAACAGAACCCTGCTCTTCTGTAGTATATTCCTCAAGCATGATCGCCATTTTGACTACTGAAACCACCCTCTGACTGTGCATGCACATCTGCAGCCTAGACTGCCATGAAGCTGGATTATGCTGCTACATAGTGATACATATGGAAAACCTGTTATGTCCATTACAGCTGTTTTACTTCCATCTGTGACATATTTACTGACTCTCCCTTCAGTGAAATTCTTGAACTCATTACTCTGAACTCATAAAGCTTCTATTGCTACTTACATGGGGAATTACTGACTGTTCTCCGACATAAGTATTATAGAAAATAAAGCTTCAAACATATGGAATGGTTTAATTCACAGGGAATGTTTAAATAATCGATTCAAGAATCACCATTGTAGGAAAACCACTTTCTCAGAACACATATACATGTAACATTAAGTCCTGTATGCTGCAAACGCAAGTTGCGATAGCTGGGATAACTTCGTCAAAACACTGTGACTGTTTGTATGAAGACAATCATTTGGTTGAGTGAAACCATGCAGAAACTTCAATCAGTACAGCAAACTTTAGAGTTTATCCCTGAGCCTCCCACATATAAACAGGAGCAGTAGTACCACAGTGCAAATGTTAAGAAACTTTGATCTCTGTGTCTGATTTGGTTTTGTTATCTTTCCATTCTCTTATACACTTAGAGAACTGTGTGCTATGTTTCATGTTAGATTTATGGAATACTGAGAAACATGTCTGGGACAGTGACAGTTGATGTGGCACAGGGATCCCTGAGAGGCAAGGAAACTACAGCAAAATCTGGCTTAAAGTACTACAGTTTCAAAGGAATACCTTATGCCAAGCCCCCTTTAGGACAGCTCAGATTCAAGGTAAGTAGAGGAACTTGATGCTTTCAGTTCCATTCTATTATTGATATCTGAACGCAGTGATTGCAAGATGGAGGTTTGTGGCACTCTGTTCTATAAAGCATGGAGGAATCAGAGAACCTTTAATTTGTTTTCATAAATTTAAACTTTATATGCTACATGATACAGAAAAAAAGAACCAATTACAATAAAGATTATCACAACTCTTAGTATTAATGCAGTAACTCCTGTGACAGGGCAGCTTCCCTCAGCCATATCTAGTGTTCTGATGTATTGTATATGTGAATGTTTTGATAAAGAAATGTAATTCTTATAGGATGGAAGTGTTCTGAATATGTTCATATTTCTGCATTTCCATCTGGGGTTAGGCAGGGTTGTCTCCTCTCACCTCTATTATTGCTACTAGTGCTGGATAGGATCTTGAAGAGCTATGAATGTCAAAATGAGAGGAACTTCATGGAAATGGCTGAACTCACTGGAAGGCCTTGAGTATGCTGATGATATATGTCTTCTTTCACACAAATATGACCATATGCAATCAAAACAATGATTTAAGTAGAGAATCAAGGAAGGCTGGACTAATGATGAATTGTACCAAGACAGAAGAAATAAAAGTAAACATTACAATAGATAGGCCAATAACAACAGAAAATGGAGAGATACAACGATAAAACAGATTTATGCTATTTCAGAATTACAGTATCTGAAAGTGGAGGAGACTCACTAGATGTTAGCAGGCGAATCCAAGAGGCACGAGGAGCCTGCCAGTCCACCCATATGAATAGAGATACAAAGATACAAGTTTTTGATGTTTGTGTTAAATGTGTGCTTTTATATGGTTGTGAGACCTTTATGGTTACAAATGAGTTAAGAAGAATAATTCAAACGTTTATTAATAGATGTCTGAGATTTGGTGGCCTAGACCCATTGCAAACAGAGAGTTCTGGCAGTTATCTGGCCAAACTACTTGCACTTCGACCGCTACTTCTACTTCCACTAGTTCTGTGTCTCACAGTTGTACTTCTGTGGTCTGTACCCCTAGTACTTGTATTTTAGTAAAGTTGAACCATGCGTGATAAGCCATCACACTTATAAAAAGTGAATGTTGCAGTGTGCTAATTGCAAAGGTGTCATATTATCATTCATCGAGTGCCAGTGAACTTAATACATTGTTGAATTGAATTGAATTGAATTGAATTTATTTACATTCCATAAATCCAGTACAGGTGAGACACCATAGGATATGGAACAAGTCAAGTTAGAATACATAGTATCTATACAATAATACAGTAATATTGCAATTAAATGAGGTAAACTTATAATACTTATAATACACATTAAACAATGATCAAGAAATTTATCAAGATTTATCATGGACTAAAATAAAATAAAATTTCCATTAAGACGTTCATTCATTACTCATTCCATTAATCAAGTGCGTCAAATTAAAATGCATATAAAAGAGACAATCAATAAAAAAGAGACAAATAAAACAGGATAATTACGTAATTTGTAGTTTATGACATATTTCTATATCAGTTCATTTGTCGTCACGATCTGTGTGTTCTCTTACATTACACATTATACCCATTTCTGTTGGTAGTATTCTTTCATGGAATAAAAGGAGTGATGAAGTAAAAATCTCTTTAGTGCTCTCTTAAAATTTGGTACATCCAAAGTCAACTCTTTTAAAGTTTGAGGTAAATGGTTGAAGGCTTTAATACCCGCCACATATGCACTCTGACTATACTTTGTCAGGTTCACAGAAGGCAAATATAGATTATTATGGGTTCGGGTTTTATGTTCATGAATCATGGTAATAGCATTAAAAAGATGATCATTATTAATCGTGAATAAAATCAATGAGTATATGAATTGGGAATAGAATGACAGTATTTCGAATTTCTCAAATAGATGTCTACATGATTCTCTTGGACCAAAATTTGCAATAATTCTCATAGCCTTCTTTTGTAGTCTAAAGACATTGCTGGCATAGGAAGCGTTACCCCAGAAAATTATGCCATAGCTTAAAATGGAGTGAATGTGTGCAAAATAAATTACCTTTAATGTATCTAATGGGATAAAATGTTCACGTGTCTATCAATGAAGACTCGAACTCTTCGTGGCTGCTTCAATTCAGTCTCCTGATCTGTGCAATTTCTTGGTCTTCATTGCGCCCACTGAGGTTCCATGTGCAAAATTCCCCATGATAAATCCTTGATCTACTGAAACCTTTAATTACACTACTGAAGAAAGACGTGGTTACAGATGGTTGGTGCTTGAGTGGGTCGGTTGCAGAAGGTCTGGCGCCCAATGCGGTTAGCTATATCATCTTGCAATATTCTGCTGTCCTGACAACTGCCAATATTATACGACAGCTCTCTGAAATAGACTCATTAAATGAGATTTTACGGTAATTCATCTCTAAACATAATATACATTTTCAGGCTCCACAACCTCCTGAACCTTGGATAGGTGTCCGGGATGCTTTCAAAGAAGGCCATATTTGTGCGCAAAAAGATCCAGTGCTCCAGGTGTTCAGGGGAGATGAAGACTGCTTGTATCTGAACGTGTACACCCCCATGGTCAGAAACACTGCTACACAGACAGTTGACACCAAGGTAATATGAAAAGAATTGCAATGTCATGTTCTTCTGGGATGTTTGTCACATAGATTGGTAGATCAGTACCAGTGTTTTTTTTGGGAGGGGGGGCTCGCTGCCTTGATCTTCAAGGTAGAAGAGTAAATTTAGAAAACTGCATTGTTTTACATCCCACAAGACCATGTTCTCCATGATCACCACTATGAAAACACCAAATCTCCAACGAAAGAATTTCTTTTGAAAGTTGTCACCACAGAATCTGCAGACATTGTATGCTAAGTTTTGACAGAGCTAGTCTCTTATATGATATAAGTTTTGTTTGTTTTAATTCTGAAACCCAACTTGAATATGAATTGTGATGCTTGAATGTGTACATTTGCTATAAAGGATCCCTGTGGAAGTATATCTTCTTGTTAATACAGTTATATTATCCTCCATATGCATATGAAATCAACAAAATTTATTATAGATGTTAAAAATAATAGTGGGGAAAGATAAGAGTGTACCATTCCACGTTATCTGTTTCTATGATATGTCCATCGGAGCAGTATATAACCAACCAACGAACCAGCTAAGTGATAATTAACTCCATGGAGCTCAGTTCTTCATGAGAAGGTGCCAGTCACTCAGCTACTCAATTTCCCAACATTCTATGGAACCTGAAGGTTCATTCTTCCATTTACAAGAACCCTCCAGTGGTCCCTATCCTGAGCCAGATCAGTCCAGCCATATCACAATGTCTTATCTCTCCAAGATCCATTTTAATATCATCCTTCTACTCACAACTAGATCCTCCCTGTGGCCTCTTTCCTTCTGAATTTCCCACCAAAATCCTATATTCATTTCTCTTTGATCCCATTCATGCTACATTCCCTACTCATTGCTATGGTTATTTATGTTTCCATGAAATTAAAGGGTAACATGCATGTCACAGTTGAAATAGGGTATACTGTATTGCATGTGAGCGCAAAGCCATCAGGTAAGTGAAGAGTGTTCTCCTTCTCTGTCACTGTTATCATCATCAGCTAAGCAGTTTGGATCTTATTGCTCCATTCTGGATCCTAAATCTTGTCCATCAGTCCATTTGGCTATTTCTTCACAGCTGACAAGTACCATTTCATACAGACAGGCCCATCACACAATACTAATCTCAGCGGACTAGCCAATTTCAGGGTGTCCATCTCAAAGCATGGCTACTGAACCTTCTCTGCCCAGTGTGGGCCTGTATTTCATGTGGTTGCTAAGCAACCATACCTAGTTTCACAGTGCAAAAACGATCTATGTCTGGTGCTGTTTCACTGCTTTGCAACTAGTAATGCATCAAGCAATCATTGCATAGCACCACGGCTGTATATAAGAAAATACTGTTCATTGTGAATATATGGTGTGTTATAATACTTTCCAATATGTCATATTCTTGGTCCAGTGTTTACTGATTTCATGAAGAAAATTCAAATAACCTTTTGGAATTGTGTCAAGACCATGTTCTTTATGAAACAGTAACCTAATCTCTATTGGCCTCGCCATAGCTCAAGCGGTTAGTCACTGACTTCCCACCATGGCAGCCTGGGTTAGATCCCAGGTCTGGTCAAGTGGGATTTGTGGTGGACAAAGTGGCGCTGGGGCAGGTTTTCTCCAAGTACTTCGGTTTCCCCTGCCAATCTTCATTCCACAAAATTGTCCATCATCTTAATCACCCAGGGCAAGTACAATAGGCCAGTCAGTGGCCGCCATGCTGAGCGGACCCAGCTGGACTCCACCCCGCACTGGCGAATTTAACCTAATCTCTACAGGAATGAATTCTGCGTGCATTTCGGTAGCTGTCTCAGCCATAGAATGGAACATATAGTACTAAGACAAAACTCTGGTATCAATAAACAGAAATCAATCAGCTCCTTTTTTAGAAGCCGGAGCAAATTTATTGAGACAGATTTACACTAATGGTGCCAGTGAAGTCAGTGACTTCTGGTCATCTTGATGCAGTTATAAATAATGACAGTCATTAAGGTAATGCAAATCTTTAGGACATAATTTGAGACCATATGTGAGGAAAAATGGTTAGTACTGAAGAGGAAATCACACAGCCAGTCTTGTTTCCCAACATGCATCAAAATGTGTGAAATTATGGGCACTTCTGAATTTTCTTTCGGCACAATACTTCTTCACATAGTTGCTAAAGAGACAAACACATACACTGAGCACTGACAGAAGCTGTCCAAATCTGCCCTCCATTTCAATCCATATTTGTTTATTTCAGCAGAATCCTAACACAGAAGGGCCCTTAAAGCCAGTTATGGTCTGGTTCCATGGAGGTGGGTTTGTTGGAGGATCAGGCAACTCAGAAATATACGGACCTGACTACTTGGTCGCTGAGGATGTCGTTTTGGTCACACTTAACTACCGCCTAGGACCTTTTGGTAATTGTATTTCATTTCTGGCCTCCTTTTCATATGATATAATTAAACATATACATGCAATGTCATCAGCTCTGTTTAAGTGAATGTATGTCCCCTTGATGACTATTGAACCATTTCACTCTTTTTGTAAGATCATTTCTTGAAGCCAATCACATTGCTGTACAATTTGATTATCACACCCCTGGCTCTTTGAGGGATGCTGGCTATGTGGTGACATCACATGTAAGTGTGGCAAAGAGCTATGATAGTGCTTAAAGCACTGAAAAATAACTTACCTGCTGTACTTCCACGCTTATAGTGGCTGTGCAAATCGATTCTGATTCTAACACATTGTTTACATCAGAATCCAACTGGCTATTTTCATAAATACAGAACTATGCGATACATGCATTATTTCTGTCCTGAGTGACATGCAGCAAAATGTTTTTGTGGTGAACAGTATAATACCACCACACCCTCCTCCCCCTGCTTTGCAGTCCAAGAAAGTGTAATCAAACTCTACTCCTAATTGTAGTATTTGACATTCTAATAGTGGTGGTATATCATGCTGTGTAGTCCAATGAAAATCAGCCAACACTATCACGGTCGAAGAATAAGTCAAGCAACAAACCAGCCTGAAGCAGGTACATAATGGTAAGACATCTCCTCAGCCCTGAAGATGGAGGTAGTGTGTTTTTCAAAAATGTCAGTACCCGTTTACAACACTGCATGGTGTCACAACCCAGAAAGCCACAATCTGAACAGTCACTGCAGCGATGTTACTTTATACAGCTAACAACTGTAACATGGTTCTCTCTCCATTCTGTAGGTTTCTTATGTTTAGAAAATGAGGAAGTCCCTGGCAATGCTGGTCTTAAGGACCAAGTAATGGCTTTGAAGTGGATTCAACGCAACATCAGGCAGTTTGGAGGAGATCCTGATAATGTCACACTTTTTGGGGAGAGCGCTGGAGGCTGCAGTGTTCAGTATCACATGTTATCACCCATGTCAAAAGGTAGGCAAGGCAGCCACGAAGAACCTGTCAGAAAACGTCATTAAATATGGTGGTTTGGTGGTTAACACTTCTAATTCATATGTGGTAGGTCCGAGGTTCAAATATTGTCCCATCGACCGGTTATCTTGCCTGAAGTTTTTCATGGTTTTCCACAGTCCCGCTGAACAAATGCCAGAATAGCACCTCCAGTTAGACCACAGCCACTTCTTTCCAATTTATTATTAATTATTCATCCTGTCATTTGACACTCTATAGCCTGAGTTACTGACAGTGTCATTCAATAAACCATAAATATATTAATAAATAAATAAACACACTGCTTACATTTTGGTCATAAATGTACAATGCATTTGCTTATTGCACTGAGACCCGACACCAAAATTCTTCTGGGATTAACCACTGTAGTGGAAAACAGACATTTATTCAAAAATATCAATGTACTGCTATATAACTCATATCTGTAAGTTTTGCATTCAAAAGAGCGAACTTAAAGTACATCGGTAATGTTTCTTCATACGATACTTGTACACCTAAAAATTCTCAACTTGACAGAGCATCCGTATATCACTAACCCACTGCTTCCACTAAAGGAAATAATTTTGTGATTTAAAAGGTAGAAGTACATAGAGCTGACCCTGTGATTAATTAATTAAGCACTACACTACGAAGATGTAATGGGGAATGGAGGTACAGCTCCACCATTTTTGACCTTGACACTAGATGGAGGCAAGTGGTCAGCTTCATGCCCCTGCGGCTTTATCCCCCAATACCCATTAGATAGGAGGCTGGGTGAGCGACAGAGCCGGTTTACACACTGTGGCATAGAGAAAAATCTCTGACCCCTAGGAATCGAATCCCGGCCATCAAGTGCACAGTCCATTGTTATACTGACTGAAGTATCTTGCCTCATGTCATTTTATATTTATTTGTCCCAAATCATGTGCCATACATTGGTAAAGTGAAGCAAGTGAATGAAATAACAAGGTGTCTAAATACTATCAACCTGTTAGTATTAAGGGTTCCAGTCAGTGAAGAGGATGTGGCTGGTAGTGTCATGGTTCTAATTCTGAACGTGGTACAGTCTATTTTCCTTTGCCCATAATAAGTTGGAAACCTAATTTGCAATCCATTCACTTGATTAAAGCTAAGAGGCTGCTTGTAATTCTGTATTTTTGTCTAAAATTATAGGACTTTTTCATCGTGCTATCTCTCAGTCTGGAACAGCTTTCCACTGGTGGGGATTCATGAATGCAGGACGGGACAGAGCATTTCGTCTGGGACAGGCACTGGGGTGCAATACCAATAGCCCTGATGAACTACTTGAGTTTCTTCAGAATGCCCAAACAAAAGACATTGTAGAAGCCATTCCCAAAGTACCATCAAAAGCGGTAAATGCTCTTACCAGTGCTTAACCTCAGCAATATCCTAACATCTATGAAAACACAAACTGAACTAATACTTGCATGTTTATACTCTGTGCAAGCCGTGAATACAGTAACAGAGACTGTATATTTTTTGTCACATATTTACTCACATAATTTCTGTCTCCATCTGATTTACTACTTTTAGACAAGAAATTTTATAAAAATATAAGGGACTGTATTTTTACCCATAGTAAAATTTTGACTAACACATCATTTTTGCAAAATATCTGTCATGAGATAGAGTAACTATAGGTGGGGTTTGGATAGATAATGACCACTTACTGATTATAACTACAAGTAATTATAACAGCCTCACTAGTTTACATACTCTAAAGGTCATTGTATCTGCAGCACACATGAATTCTTCTATCCTTTCACTAGCCGCTTCATGGTAATGGATCTTGACACTGTCCTCTGCTTATTTCCTTACTCTCTGGCGAATGTCTCACAACTGAACTAAGCTATAAACTTTGTCTCGCTTAGAATCCCTCAGGATGGAATAACAGAAAACACGGCTCTTGTATTGTTGCATGCATGTCTGTTGGGGTTCCAACATGACTGCTAACTCAGTCAGCCCATTGACACACTGGCTGCTGCCTAACAACGGCTGTTGTCATTTGTTTTGCAATACCCAACCCACAACGTGATTAATGTCAAATTCATTAGGTCAGCAGGGTATGGGGAGCTTTAGCAACATTTTTCATGAAATCTGTACATTTGTCAAAATTTTTTCAGTAATATTTTCATCTCAGTGTTCATCAAGGAACCACATGGTGGAGTCCATAGGCATGAATATCCATACATTGTTTGCAACTGTAATCACCTCAGTTAAGCATGTGAAATTGTATGAAAATTAGTATTCGCTTACTTTATGAACCACAAATTTCTGTCACAGTTTCACTGCATGAACTACACAAATAAATATGATGCACATTATGACTTGTTACTGGTCACAATTTCTGTAGAAGAAAACGTGAATTATATTTTGATAGTAAGAGCTATGTAACATGTACACTGTTTAGTGAACAATACCACTACACTCAGTTGCTTCATCGATCTGTACTGAAAAATGTTTGTTTCTCAACTTCAATCATCTGTTCTTCAAAGTCTTCTAATATATCAGGAATCTCTCGAGAGACTATGTTATTTGATAGCCGTATATTGCAAAGCTGCTGAGTGCATTTTCACCAAATGTTATACCATGTCGATCACAGCAGGGAGTCTTAAACGTTTCAGCAATTCTGTGTTGCGCCTTGTTCTGTGCTACTATGTAAGTTGCTAACAAGGCTTTAGATGGCACAGTATCCGTATTAACGAAACTGTTTTTTGCTGGATGTGAATTTCACCAAGTTCTCCACAGCAATATTCTTTGGGCTTGTTTTTAATTTCTGAATGTTTCATTCTATGGTGCCACTTCAGCTTTATTCTGTCAGGAGCTAAGATGCTGTGACAGTGTAAACATGGCCGCTCTGCTAGCAGTATGCACCAAGGAGGAACAGAGAACTGTGATCCGATTTCTCTGGTTGGAAGGTGTGTCAGGGGCTGAAATTCATGGGTGGGTCCATCACTATGAGCCAGAATCCAAAAGCCAGAGTGGCCCAGGATGGCCAAAGAAAAAGAAATTCTAGACTCAATCTTCTGTGGGAAAGTGATGCTAAGCGATTTTTGGGACCCAGAAGGGCCTATACTGGAAGACTACCTGGAAAAGGGTGTACGATGAACAGTCCAAGATAGTGATTTGCTGGCCAACAATCTGAAGCCAGCAATTCGCACCAGACGCCGAGGCCTATTGTCGAAGAAAGTGTTGTTGTTGCATGACAATGCACACATACACATGGCCAGCCAGACTGCTGAAACCATTAACCATTTGGGTTTTGAGGTGCTGGAACACCCTGCTTACACCCAGATCTCGCCCCTTCTGACTATCATCTCTTTGGACCGCTCAGAGATGCTTTACGGACAAAGAAGTGCGGAAAGCGGTGCATAAATGGTTGCGCGACCAACCGAAAACCTTCTTCTTGGAGGGAATACGCAAGCTTGTGGACCACTCAAAGTTGCCTTATGCACAACGAAGTGCGGGAAGCGGTGCATAAATGGTTGCGCGACGCACCAAAACCCTTCTTCTTGGAGGGAATATGCAAGCCTGTGGACCACTGGACCAGGTGCATCAACAAGGAAGGAGATGGTTGCGCTACCATCCGAAACCCTTCTTCTTGGAGGGAATACGCAAGCTTGTGGACCGCTGGACCAAGTACCTTGAAAAGGAAGACTATGTAGAAAAATTATGTATTTTTTCAACCCCAGCTTTTGTGTGTACAAATTGGAAAAACAAGAGTGCGGATAATTTTTTACTTCCCTGCGTATATTAGTTGCATGTGAATAAAACAGAGATGGAAGCACGGTTCACGAGCAAATTGAGTCATGACCCACATATGTAGTAATGCACACTGTGTGTTTGTGCAGGAGAAGCGACAGATGGTTGTGTTCTTATTTGTGCCAACTGTGGATAAGTTCGCTGCAGCTGATGAAGTCTTCCTGCCAGCCCATCCTTATGATCTGATCAGTACAGGGAAGTTCCAGCATGTGCCATACATAATGGGCGCCAACTCAGTGGAGGGACTGATACATCTCCATGGTATCTCGTCTCATTAAATTGTAAACTATAATGATTTTAAGTTTCTCTGTTCTACTGATCATTCTTCGTATCCCGTCAGTTATAATTGCCATGTAGGCTCTATTCTAAACCTGTGAATTAAGAAGATTTATTTTCAAAAATCCTTGTATTTGGAACTTTAAATGATGATTTTTGTTGCACCTCTAATGCAACAGAATTACATAACACTATTGGTAAAGCTATCCCTGTTACAGGCCATGAAGGCCCATAAGGTTGTGATACATCGAGGCTCCCATATTTTCTAGACAGTCAACTCACAGATGGCAGTGAGGTTATCAGCCTTACGTTCCCCAGACCATAGTGCGGCTGGAAGGATTAGCTCACTTCAAAAATCCAATGACTTCATCAGGATTCAAAACTGTGACCTTCTGGTTGGTAGCATAATGCCTCAACCAACTATGCTACTGTGCCCCCCCCCCATAGCACTGTTCAGGAATCCAGAATTTTGAGACCTTGCCATACAGAGGTTTTTGATATTCTTTTAAATGTACTAACTTCTTGATTTATTTATTTTGCATCATTTATGACTTCAGGGCTTTCATTCTGTGTGTCTTACACTTAAAATATTAATGGTAACATCCTTCCGGGTATTTAAGAATGCAGTTATATTTAATGATCAGAAAAGCCTTCCCCATTTCTAATTAACTCACTCTATCAAGCAGAGTCCATCTTGAAAATCTAATGGTCGCTAAGCTAGTCAAAAAATTTCTAACCATATATGGAACAATGTTTGTAAGAATCCACCACTAGACTATATCTTGAGTCAGATGAATCCAATCTGCACCTTCACATCCCATTTTTTAATGTAATATTTTCTCAAACAGTCTCTTCCCCTCAGGCTTAACGACCAAAGTTCACTTGAAAAAATCACCCCCCCCCCAAACTTCTGATGTGAATCAGACTTTTTGCAACACATATGGGCAGTCTGCTATCTATAACAGTGATGAGTGACCTGTTCCAATCTTGAAAGAAACGGACATTCCTCAGTTACAACTTGTTTAGCAATGCCTCTGATATTGTTTCATTAATTTTCATTAATCTGATTTCAGAACTTACTGAGGCTAGGATGAAGAAAATTGACAGTGATCTTCAGAGTGTAATACCAATTGATGCACCTGTCACGTTAGATACAGACCACTCTCTTAATACTGCAAAGAAGCTGAGAGAATTCTACCTTGGTAGCCAGGCCATTTCAGAAGATTCTAAAGCACAATATGCAAATGTATGAATCTTAATATAGCAGGACCTCACTAATTTGAACTAAGTGGGTAGGAATCCTTGTCCAAATTAGTCAAAGTTCGAATTGCACAATATGCAAATGTATGAATCTTAATATAGCAGGACCTCACTAATTTGAACTAAGTGGGTAGGAATCCTTGTCCAAATTAGTCAAAGTTCGAATTACAGAAGTGCCATTAAAAATACGTTTGGGGAAGTTAGAAAATGAACTTCACATGCTTCCTAAGCAATGCAACTTTATTTTGCAACTTAGATTTGAACATCACAAAATAAATTTTCTTGTCATAAAATGTAAAAATATAAGTTTTGACATCAGTCTTAAAACAGTTTAGGCAGCCTACATATTGCGATAATGTAGTCGGTATAGCGACTGGCTACAGGCTGGATGATCAAAGGGTAGGATCAAGAATTTTCTCTTCTCCATGTCGTCCAGACTGGCTCTGGGGTCCACCCAACCTCCTACACAATGGGTATCAGGGGCTCTTTCCCCATGGGTAAAGCAGCCGGAGCGTGAAGCTGACCACTCACCTCCAGCTAGTGCTGAAGTCAAGAAAATGTGGATGTACATTTCCACTCCCCCATACGCCTTCATGGCATAGTGCTTAATTAGTTAAGCACAGGGACATCTTTACCTTACCTGTTTAGTATTACTGAGACTGTGTTTAAGAAATGAACTTAATTTGGTTTGTGTTCCTCTTTTGCTCTGCTCTAGCGTTACATGCGGCAGTTTGAGGTTGCTGATCATAACAATATGATCACCAAGGCCATAATGCACAAAAAAAAAACATTTGTTCAAATTATTGTGAATTCCGAATTAGTGAAGTCCAAATTAGTAAGGTTTCACTGTATTTACTCATGGAGGTAGTGGTAATTTTTGCTTATGTTTATTTCTGGATGACAAATTATTGTACATTTAACTACCCGCGTACAGCATAATCCTTGAGAAGTTAATAATCACTCAGCTGCTCAAGATCTCCACCTTTTGTGAAACTCAAAGGTTCTTTACCATGTTGTATGGGTGCCAGTAGGAATGTGCAAGTCAAGCATTTGTGGCCCCCCTTTTGGATTTTTTTGGAAGAAATCAGAATTATTTTAAAAATTAATCTGTTCTGAATACTCTAGGGAAGCAGTTTCCAAACTTTTCGGTTCATGGAGCACCAGAACATCACGTTGCACTCTGTGCAACACTTTGAAAAGTTGATACATTATTGCTGTCATTCAACACGGGAGAATACTATTAGCGGAAAACGTGTCATATATCACACAGTGTAATATCTAAACAATAGTTTGCATACCACAAAAACAAATAAACGAACAACAAAGCAATAAATTTTAAGTCTCACCTAATGGAGACAAGTGATTATTAAAATGAAACATTATATAAGATGTTATGAAATATGTATAAATTTTATAATGTTATCCATTAGGCTTTGTTTGGGAAATCTGGAAAATGCTGCTATTATTTTATTTCAATTGTGGAACACCTCAGTCTAGCATGGAGAACACAAGTGTACCATTGGAGAGTGTTTATTGAACCACTGCTTGAGAGCAGTCAGTGTAAATAATTTTAAGTGGCTTAAATGTAAATTTATAAGGAAATTTGTTGGCTCCTACTGCAGAAATAATGCTGGTTGCACTCATGCCATGTTTGCAAGAGTCAAAGTATGTCTTTGTTATAAAAGTATAACCTCCTAATAGTATGAGTATGATTCCAAAGATACATATCAAACTTCAGAACTTCTTTTATTGCAGTTAATATCTGAATCATGGTTCACCTATGAGACTTACAAATCTGTGAAGATAATGTCAGCACTGTCTACTGCTCCAGTGTATTTTTATAAGTTTTCATTTGATGGACATCTTGGATTGTTCAAACGGCTGTTAGGACTACAGGATTTTAAAGGTAATATGGCATTATAATTGCTGTAATTTCTTGGTTGACATAATTTGGTTAACATGTTTTCCTTTTGTAAGGTTTTCCAATTGAAAACCATTTTTTTCAAATGTGTCAGTATTTATTTATTTGATAGATAACTTAACCTTAGATCAATATCTGACAGGAGTGACCATGAAGAGTAAGGTTACGGAGGGAGGCGATATTTTCATTCAAAATGTAAGGCTTTCACCAAACTACACAGTATTGCAACCCAGAAGTGCCTGCGCTTCATCTTCATGAAATGATTTTAAGCAGAGTTTTCCAGGTTTTCTTTTTATGTGAAGGTTGTTTCTAAAGAAGGAACAGTATTATATGTTTTGATTATATTTTGGAGATTGTCATTATCTCAATTTTTCCACAGCACAGAGTTTCAGAAAATGGTTCTGTTTCTGAAGTGTTGTGGTTTGAAACATCAGGGAAAATGGACAGTGTCCAAAATATCAGACAATAAGATTGTTGTACACCATCATCAGAAACCTTCAGACACATATATATTGTTATAATATTTTCTTTCCTATTGGATGTCAGTATAGAATAAAATATGTACGTTTTCTTTCACAAGAACTATGATGTTTGAGCATGAATGTAATGATTGATCATTTGTGTACACAAGCCTCAACTTTCCTGTGTTTCTATCCGTGATGTTCCTTCTCCACATTGTGCCTTTATCTAATCATTTGGTTGCAGGTGTCTGCCATGCTGATGAGATAGGTTACTTGTTTCATATTGGTATGTTAGATTTGGATTTAGATCCGTCTTCACCAGAATTCAAGACTCTGACAAGAATGGTGAAATTATGGACCAACTTTGCAAAAACAGGGTAAAAATCATATTTCTTTACAATTTTTATGTGTTTCCTTTTCTTTTATGTTTTGTGCAGTGGTGCAAATGCTTGTAGAAATTATCATGATGATTTATATTGATGTTCCAGGAACCCAACCCCTGAAATAACACCACTTCTTGATGTGACTTGGCACCCAGTGGAAAAGAACAAATCAAATTACTTGAACATAGACACTACTCTAGCCATGCATGAAAACTATGAGCAAGAACGTATGGCTTTATGGGACTCTGTATATAGTTCAACAGATGAAACAAAATCAAAGTTGTGATATCACTGTCAGTATTTATTCACCATTACGTTGGTATCAATTGGCAGATTTTTAATAGGCACAATCCTTTATGCATTCCATGTTAATATGACAGTTATTAAATTAGCAAATGCATGTTTCCCCCATTATCAGATAGCTGTACTTCAGTGTTAATGCAGGGAAGCTTGTACATTCATCTTTCCAAGTTCATAATTTGGTTTATTTGCTGCTGTGCCCCTAATAATGCATTCTTGGATGTACTTTGAAAAGTTTCCCATAAATCTTTCCACAGCTTCTCAGTATCTGACCTGTGCATCCTACATCACAGTCATGACTGTCCATGTCTGGTACTTGTACCAACAACACCTTGAAATTTTTCCTCTTTTTTCCTAGTATTTTTCCAATGACCCATTCCTCCTGAAATACATGTAAGTGATGTTAGCCATGTAAGCAGAATTGTAAAAGCTCTAAAGAGAGAAAATAATGTAATATATAATTCACTATAAGGGCACATTCATACAGACTGTCTGCATCAGATACACTTAATGAATTTTGCTCTTTGCAATCATCTCAGGAACATATCTCTTAAAAATGTGGAAGCATGTTTTTATGTTGTGCAGGGATATTTCATAGAGAAAGTGAGAAGCTAGGTTTTTAATGTGCAGCAGAATGCAGCTCCTTCTGAAATCGGTACCGTTGTTATGTAATCCTCTACCACAAAAAGGTAGTTGGAATAGACAGTTCATATAAACAGCAAAATTTGTTGTCTGTTATGCATAAACTACAAGTGTATGAAATGTGAATTATAAGTTACTTTTATAACATATAAATTTATATCTAAATTATCAATTTGGTTCTCTTAGTAACTTTAAACCAGTTCTTGATTCCACATCACAGTCTAACAAAAACCCCAATATATTTTAAATGATTAAAGGTTTGAAACTGACTCCACGGACTGTCTGCTGGTAACATCTCAGCACATAACACACAGGAAACACCACTCCAATATTTCTTCTATTGTTCCATCTTGCAGCTGAACCACAGACCACCACTTCCGAGTTAATCCATTGGTGTGTGTGTGTGTGTTATGAATCTGTTGCCTAGCAACATGCACTGAGTACAGAGTCATTACTTAGAAATGGGTCTACATGCTACAATGCAACATATGTATAAGGGGCATTCAAATGAAAATAGGTCACCATGCATAACTTACATGGCGCTCAAGTTGGTAACACTGGAATTTTCTTACGGTACGAACATCTGGTGGGGACTCGGGAAAGCACAGTGACGTGCCCTTGCACACTAGTCGTTTATTTATTGTGCTGGGAGTAAGGTTAGCGCTAAGTGTGGTCGCCCATCATCAGTAATGGAGGTGGGAAAGAAGAACAGCGAAGTGTAGTGTGCTTTTTGACTGCTGAAGGAGTAGGAGGACGAGAAATTCATCGTTGCATGTCTGTTGTTTACGGCGAACACAGCATGTCACGTTCGCGTGTGGTGGCGTGGTATAAGAGATTCCCAGAGGGACAAGTGTCACTGCAAGATAATGCTCGCCCAGGGCAGCCTCATCGTGTCATCACTCCTGATGTTACTGCTGCGTTGGATGGTCATATTTGGGCAAACCGACGGATCACTGTGGAAGAAATTAGTCATTTGATGGGAATAAGTCACGGTTCCGTACACACCTTTGTGACAAAACACCTGCTGTGCCGCAAAATCTGCGCGCAGTGGGTTCCACGTCAACTCACGGAGGAACAGAAGATTTAGAGAATGGCTCCATTGCAACGATACCATGAGGAAGAGTATGCTTCTCTGTCCCTTATTGCCACTGGGGACGAAACTTGGTGCCACCATTCTGAACCCAAGAGGAAACGGCAGAGCCAACAGTGAAAACACGTGAATTCTCCCCGACCGAAAAAATCCAAAGCCGTACACACAAGTACCGGAAAAGTGATGACGACGTTCGACTGCAAGGGCCCTCTGCTTGTCAAATTTCTAGAGAATGGGGCCACAATCAATGCACAGCGCTATGAAGACACTTTGCAGAAACTGAGACGTGCCATAAAGTCAAAACGCCCTGGAATGTTATTGAACGGCATTATCCTTCTTCATGACAATGCACGCCCCCACACTGCCAACTCTGCGAGGAATACACTACAGAGATTTGGTTGGGAAGTGCTTCAACATCCCCCCTACAGGCCAGATCTCTCCCCATGTGATTTTCACATTTTTGGAGACCTGAAGAGACATTCATGGACATCGGTTTGCATCGGACGAAGACGTGTGTGGCTGGTTAAAGATGTGGTTCCGTAGATAGCCCACAAGCTTTTTCAAGGATGGGAGTGACCGTCTTATCTCCAAGTGGGATAAATATATTAACAGTTTTGGAGATTACTTTTGAGGCAAGAAATGTTCTTTAATATGTTTTGGCTTCTGACACGTTTCCATTTGACTGCTCCTCATATTTGTTTTCTAAAGTTGCATTCTGATTCAATATACTTTCCCTAGGCAAAAAATTTTGTTCAACTACTGATTCCTGGAAACTGTAATAAGTGATTTAATTAAAGTCCACCATAATCAGTCATTTCATAGTTAAACTGAAGGAAACTCTTCATATATACAATTCAACGCTTACATGACAGTTATTTCATTGGCGTAACATTGCAAGATTTGGTGCATTTAATCTGTTTCTTTGGACAACCTGTTATGTATACTGAGGTTTGGATGTTACACGTAGGTGTATGGAGGGCGACAGTTTCTAAGGTTATGTCGGTATACACGAATCATGACAAGACATGGGTGGGTGAAAATCAACCCAGCAACGGCTCTACACGCTACAATGTGAAATGGTAAAGGTGAAGTTGTCCCTGGCCTTAATTAAACACCGTACCCTGAAGATGTATGAGAGAATAGAGATACAGCTCCTCCATTCTTGGCATTGGAACCACATACAGGTGAGTAGTCAGATTCACGCTCTTGCCGCTTTACCCCAGGAGAAAGAGCCCCCAGTACCCATTGGATAGGAAGCTGGGTGGGCCCCAGAGCCGATCTGCACGTTATGTCCGTTTTAGATAGGTTCCGTTGAATTAATTTACGAGTACGTCCAGTTAAATAAAGGAGTTTCTCAATTTCCTCAGTTATATATAATCCAATTCACAAGTCAGAAATTCGTGTTACGTATGTAGCCTACACTACGGCGTTACTGAATAGTGCGCAATTGCAGTTTTTCTCATTTCCCCCTTTTCTTCTTTGTCTTCTTCGCTTTCCAGTAATCCCATTGTGTACATATTTTGTCAATGGCTGACTTTAAATATTTTCCTTAACAAATGTTTTTCATCTCGGATAAATTCCAGGAACAAAATTATTTGAAAAGGAAACTGTAAATAGTCTATAAAAAGAGGCAAATTTCCGTTAAATCCTTGTTCTCTTTCGCTTCCGCACTAAACAGTTCCGTGTAATGGAGTTTATACTGCACTAGTTTTTATTTCATATCTTCCGGACCAGCGAAACATTTACGATGAAGAGAAGTTTCTGTTGAATCCAGGTCCCAAGTATCCATATTTCACTGTAAATGACTGCATTCTTTTTCAGAAATAAAATCACAAACACGCAATGCGATCCTGGGGCGTAACCTTAAAATACACCAAGAAGGCTTCCTTCCACATTCTTTCCAATCCACCATTCACAAGTCTGTTGCCGTGCGACGGTGCATAGCGGGCGAAACAAACAGTCCCAAATTCAGCTTGTTCTGCACCAGGCAGGATTAGAGGCGGTAGCAGGGGAATACCCGCCGGCCCAATTTCCCAACTTCCTTACCAGAGTCCATCGCCATCTCATTGTCTTGCGTCGGGGAATCTCTTCGACAAGTTTCGCGGTGTAAGAAATACCAGAGCTGCAGGAAAATTATTGTTTCCTAGAACAGCGTGGTTGAAACGTTTCTTTCGCTGATTCCTGAACGAGTTGCATCAACTGCGTGGGTTTTTATGAATGGCGGTACAAGTATGTGCGCCGAATTGAACTGCAATGAGACACTTACGTACTTACTTATGGAGCTGAGCCCTTCTGTAGGAGCCGCCAAATCTGCAGCTACTCAAGAATTTCCCAGCATTTTATGGAACCCGAAGGCTCATTACCGTGTTCGCAAGAGCCCTCCACTGGTCCCTATCCTAAGTCAGATCTCTCCAATCCATACCAACCCATTCTATCTCTCTAAGATCCATTTTAATATTGTCCATCCACCTACGCCTTGGTCTTCCCAGCGGTCTCTTTCCTTCTGGCTTTCCCACCAATATCCTATATACAATCCTCTTCTCCCCCCTTCGTGCTACATGCCATTCCCACCTCATCCTCCTAGACTTGATCATTATAATTATACTTGGAGAAGAGTACAAGTTATGAAGCTCCTCATTATGCAGTTTTCTCCAACCTCCTGTCACTTCATCCCTCTTCGGTCCAAATATTCTCCTCAACAGCCTGTTCTCAAACCCCCCCAGTCTATGTTCCTCCCTTAATGTCAGAGACCAAGTTTCACACCCATACAGAACCACAGGCAAAATTATACTTTTGTATATTCTAATTTTTATGTTTTTGGACAGCAGACGAGAAGACAAAAGGTTCTGGACTGAATGGTAGCAAGCATTACCCGAGTTCAATCTCCTCTTAATTTCCTCCTGAATCAGGTTTTGATTTGTTATCGTCGTTCCCAAATATCTGAACTGTGCCACATTTTCAAAACATCTGTTTCCTGTCTTTATGTCATGATTTTGCCCTGCATTTTGGTGACGAGACAGCAACGTATACTTAATTGTCCACTGTATTTACTTCCAGACCAGCCTCCTTCCTTGCGTCAATTAAAGTTTGCGTGTTTCTCTTCATGGTGTAGATTCACATCATCGGCATAGACCAATAGCTGATGTGTCCCATTTAAACCTTACTGTCTCATATTTGTGCAGTAAGGTTTCTTTGACACCCTTCCATTTTGCGCATTCCTCGCACAAAGTGTACTAAGCGAAAGCATTAAAAGTGAGATTCCATCTGTCCGCGTATTTCATTTTCAAAATAATGAATTGATTTCGATGAAATTTGGTATTGGCATTTGCACTAAAATGTACAGGTCAATTTAGTTCTAGTTCATATTGATTCAATATAAGCTCTACTTAAAGTAAACCTCAAATTGGACTTCATCGATAATTTTAATAGCGACTATTCGCACAGAAAAGTAAACAGACCGCATTATAACATAAAATTTAATTTAAAAAAATTTTAACAGTGAGTATTTCATGAAATGCAAGAAAAATGAGGAGCAAGATCTGCCGGGTTGTAGCGTCATGTCGTTCTTTACTACGCAGGACTGCAACCCAGAAGATCGTATTCTTCACAGTCACCGCTGTGGCTGTCTAAGCGCATGGGAAATTGATCTTTGTGCGATTAGCTTTGAGACAATAGATTTGTATTTGTAATAAATGAGCATCAAGACAATGAGGTATGCGATATTTCGGAGAACGCATTCCCACTAGTCACGGCGTCACGAGTACACCTGTCCCCCCTTCGAATAATCCATTAAATCGACCAATAAGCAATAAATGAACTTGATCCAGTTGTAGGTTAAGTCCATGTTAAAATTCCATTTGTTCGTTTCCCTTGACCAGTATAGGACCTGCACACCGCTCTTTCTGTGGGCACAGTCAGAACGTTTCTCGGGGGGGGGGAACGGGCGCGTTAACTTCTGGGTGAAAGTGTGACACCCCGTGCAGTATGCCCTGGAGCAGGGACGCCCCATCTCAAAGACATATAGTAACCAAGGGGTTCAGATAAGTGCAGATAGAGAGAGATTTGATTTTGGGACGCG